GGGAGGGCCCGAACCTAGGTAAATTGCTTGCTTCTTGTGCTACCATCTCGATTTGTCGCTAGCATCCTCTCCGAACAAATTTGTTGTCTCTCGACAGTATTGTCGGTCTCAAAACAACGACAACACGGCTCTGTCAATTTTGGCCCGAGAAGAAGTACGGACAATCTGGCATGTGTACTTAATTTCTACTCCCTCCGTCCCATAATATAAGAGCGTTTTTGATACTACAGTCAAAAACGCTCTTATATTATGGGACGGAGGGAATATTGATTAGTGTTTTGTCTTTTTTAGACCACTAAGCTGGTTCGTTGGATGGCCTAAGAAGATAGAGAACAGTGGACATTAGTTGCTACAGCAGTTGCTTTGAGCCACGTCCGAGGAGCCGACTACAACCCCACATGGACCTGGACCTAGCCTCGGCCCATAACTAACCAGTCTAATCCAACATATCCCATTATTTATAACCTTTAGTACTATTAACAAACAAAAATTACATATGAAAGTAATAGGTGTTTATCCCATCAATTAAACTTGTTCCGTGTTTAATGATAAAATCAGCCTTCATGGTGGATTAACACAAACACCTAAATTTCGGCTCTAGCATATTGGGTGATGTGTCGAGGATGCATACCCAAATTTTTCGGCAAGAAATGAGTAGCAAAATGAGAACAATCAATAGGTCAACTAGCTTGCATCTAGCAAAAGTTCACTGCCACACCGTTTTTTATTCTTACTTTGATTTTTGTTTGTTGTATTCTATCCTTATTCCTTTGAAAATCCTCCTCAAAATAAATGTCAGCAGTGAGTCGATTGCCTATTTCTGGATTGTCTGCTTGTACCCACACTAAAAAGAAGATTATTTATTGTGTTACGCAGATTTAATATTTCTAATATGTTTAAATAAAATCATCTAAAAGTAGGATAAAAATAAACATGGTATCGTTATAGTATATTTTGGGTCAATCTATGTCGAGTCGGACCTTTAGCATGGTTCAATTTCTTAAATAGTGTATTAAACTACCTTATGAGTAAGCGACATATTAGCTCATTTGAGTGACCCTCCAAACTCCTCAGGTCAAACCTTTAGCATGGTCCAATTTCTTAAAGCGTGTATTCAACTACCTTATGAGCAGCCCGCAAAAAAAACTACCTTATGAGCAAGCGACATATTAGGTCATTCGACCGACCCTCCAAACTCTATTCCTACTCTCATCTTATGTCTAATGCAATACCAGTTAGATCTAAATGTGAATGTGAAGGATCGTCACACAATAAAAAGTGTACTTGATTATTTCGTAGCTTCTCTTTGTCATTTAAGATGTTTTCACGAGCACAAATCCATACTTGACTTTTGATATGTACATTTTTATGTTCGAAAAAATTATGTGGCGACCATTAGGCCAAACAATCTGTTCACCATCCGATCTAGAATCTAAGGGCGATGCGTCGCTCCCCTCTTTAATTGCCTCTTACTTTTCTCCCGCAATCACACTCCACGACTCTATCATCAGCCATGCACCCATATTTTCTCTTTCCAGGTTCTGAAGCCGCATGTGCGCCCAGCATTGCCCCTCTCCGGCATTCTCATCACACTATTCCACTCCGAGATTTTCTACCAAGATGTCCTGTCCAGCACCAACAAAGGCTCCTAGTCTTGCCTGGGGGCGAGTTGGATAGGGACATGACCCCATGGGGCGTGGCATAAATGGCATGGCAAGTGGATTTGCTGCCATGGCAGGTTGAGGGGGCCAGGCTAGGTACCGGAGGTCACGTGTTCGCCATGGTGGGTTCCTCTAGTCTTGGATGACGTGAGCTTCCACTCCATCGAGTTGGCAACATGGTCCTACCCATGTCATACTCCTGATGTGGCGCATCTCAAGTCGTTTGTACCAAGCTGGAGATCCGAATGTAGTCTCACTTATGACAACTCGCCCGCTCCAGCATGCATCCCTCCCCACTGCGTCACATGTGCAGCTTCAATGTTATGCCATGCCTCGCCCACCACATGCTCGACATAATGCCATACACCCAATACTCTCTACAATGCCTTCACCAGCTCTTTTCCTCACGCGCCTACGACTGCCTTGTCGCCAAACTCCGCTTCAAGCGCAGCCTGATTGATGAGGTGCCCAGAATGACTAATCTCTAGCAGCCAATCCTGTAGGTTTTGTAGACTGTCTACACAGGAGTGATTTGTCTACAACCTTGGTTAGGAGGGGAAGGTGGTGCAAAGGAACACAACATGGAGGGGAAGCTGCTTTGGCAAAGCAACACATGTGAGTCGGTGCCTCCATGAAATTGATGGAGTTACCAACAATCTAGGTGACAGTTATTACTGTTAAACAATGTAATTACCCAGTATTAGTATTGTAATAGTTACTGAGGTATTTTGGTTACAGATACTTGTAATCAAAGCACTACCATATCTGCCCAACTTTCATATTGAAGTTACCACTATGGCACTTTTAGTTACCCAGTTGTCCGGGTTACAGTTACCATCAAAGTACCATGTAGTTACTCGGTAGTTCAAGCTTAATTTGTCACTCAGACTTCATAACGCTAATATAGTTGCCCAGTTTCTCACTGATGCTCAAGTTACAATATCACGGCCGATATATTTACCCAGTTATCCATAGTAAAATTACCATCATAACACTACTACTGTAAGACGCAATTATCAACATGACAATTATGCAGCTACCCAGTTGGTCATGCTGGTCATGCTACAGTTACAAAGCAATTATGTAGCTACCCAGCTCTTATGCTACAGTTACTAACATAGCAATTACGTAGTTACACGGCTCCTTAAGCTAAGTTACACCATGAAACAATTGTAGTTAACTAGTATAACAGGTCATAGTCACCACCACCATTGTACTGATGTATTTACATGGTGGTTCAGTGAGATATAGGACAACTTGTGAGTACTTCGGTAACTTTAGTGACCTGATAACCACTCAGTATAGTTACCCAACATCCAAATTATACTTACCAACATGGCAATTATGTAGGTCCCAAGTTTCTCATGCTACAACAGTTATCACCATGAGAGTTAACCAGCATACTATGTCACAGTCACCACCATACTAGTGGAAGTAATGGTGGTTCTGGTGAGATCTATTTTCGAGGCAATCACTACCTAGCTCACACATTACTGTTTGGACTGTGAGCAATCCAGTAGCTCAAATAATGTTGGCTACCAGCGAGATTTAGTTTTAAATTTGATAAGTATATCTTGAACTATCTGGCATTGTTCCAAATATCGGCCAGTTAATCGGCATCTCGGTCAGTTAATCGCTAATCTGTGCGTCACCGAATAGCCGATTAGCTGATTCATTGGCCGATTAATTGGAAAATTCTCCTATTTATCCATACTCAGCACCCGACTAATATGGTACCAATTTACCGATATCCTAAACATTGCTATCTGGTAACTGACACATTTACTTGGCTTGGTAATCTCTAAGCTCCCAAAAATTTGATTAGACATCCAACCGAGATAATTTTTCAAGACAATAACAATGACTTATATAGTAACAATGATAACTTCTGAGCTCTCAAAAGTCGCTGAAACATTCCAAGAGTTCTAGTTTTCATGTTGAATAACTACTTGCGAGTAGCTTGTGAGTAACATGTTGCAGCTTCCTAATTTTTAACCCGAAAAAGAGATGTCAGGGCATACCCATATGAGATCTAGTTTCAAAGATCTCGTCATGACGAACTTAATGATGAAAACGGATCGTAAATTGGATAATACTATTTGGGAGTTAAATCATTCTGATTTTTCAAAATAAAATAATATTTGCTGACATCATCTTTTTTTGTTTATACTTGCATGCATGCACCAAAGCTTCAGTTTTGCTAGCTGTAAGAGAAGGAGTGTGCGCCAAGATGGGGATAGGGAAGTGTTCGGCAATTCAGAAAAAAAGATGGAAATAGGAAAATGTTCAGTAGATCATACCAAGGGCTCATTCTTTTCAGCTCCAGATTCTCCAGAATTTTATTCTGAGAAACTGCCCACAGAAACAGTTGCGTACAGATTCAGTTGTCCAGTTCTTTTCAGCTATTGCAGTCCGAGATTGTTGTATGAGTTGTGTGCTGAAATGTTTATAATGCCCACTGTGTGCTAAGCATCAAAATTCACATAGCACCACATCACATAGCATGTCCTCTATCTACTAAACATAATAGTCCAAATAAGAAATAACCACACTCAAACAGCATGCCCACTGCCAACTTAGCATCAAAATTGGTCATAACATTCACATAACAAACATTCTGTTCCTGCGTACCCGTACCACTCAAAATATAATCAAAACTGGAGCCTGGACGCCCAATCCTACGGAACTGAAGATTGAATATGATAAGCAAAATGGTGACAGCGACCAGAAGCTTCACAGCAACAAGCTCATGGCCACAACGCTCCTGCAGCCAACCACGGGTGCTAGCTCGTGCCCACCACCAGCATGCTCTACGGCATTGTCGCGATGCAGCACATGACAGAAGCGTCAGGAGGGGGAGGTCCCTCAGCCGGTGCTCCCTGGTGCCCTCACCACACGTGCCCACGCCCACAGAGCTGCAGTGGGCGCCCTCGCCCTGGTCCAACATGATGTTGTTCAGCGCCACGTGCCAGCCTGCCAGCGCGACGGTGATAGGGTGCAGTACCTGCCAAGCGCGCCCGCCTCCGACTCCCATGCGTCCACCGGAAGAAGAGGAGGTGGATCAGCGTCAGGGACGAGCAGTTGCACCGATCGATGCGACGAGGTAAGGTGGGAGCAGGACGAGCAGCAGTGGCCATGTTGGGGATTCGGTGGGGCGAGGTGGCAGCGCTAGGTAGAAAACGATGAAAAGGGGGGCAAAGCCAAAAAAACATTTGTTCAAGTTATATAAGTTCGGGAATCAACTGGAAATTGGGAGTGGCGCCAATTCTCCATCCAACAATTTTTGTGAGGGAAACGGAGGCCATGAGCTGGCAGCTAGGAGGCTTTTTCTAGTTCTTTTCAGCTCAAGATTCCGCAACCCAGAAGTTGTCTCAGAAGATGAAAAGAACTTGCCCTAAATACATAACATTCGGAAAATAGCAAAAGTTATTTTGTGTTTTACACTGGATTTTATTTCCCCACTACTTTGAACAGCTATGCTAAACAAAATTGGATCCCATGCCAAATTGCAGCTCCCAAGCAAGCCAACAGAATTCACAGAACCAAAGACCAGTGCGACTGTGTTCACGCATTAAAATCACAAACAAGCTCCCACCTTCACAATAGATAACCTACATGGAACATAACCATAAAATGAGCAAATAAATAACAAGCAGTCATGCATGGCTGCACAAGAGTTTTGCAGGAACCAGCTAAGTCCCACTCCCGCATCAATCTCCGAAAATTCCGCAATTCAACCAAGACAGAAATTGGCTGCTCACCTATCGACCCAAGAAGTTCTACCCTCAAAAAAGAAAAACTCTACCATCAAATAACCCCATCACCTCTCACATATTATCAAGATCTCAAGCTCCCGAGTAATACAAAACTTACGG